GAGCGCCCGGTGGCGGCGGCGGACGGGGACTGCAGCGGCGTGGAGGAGCAGCGGGAGCTGCTGCAGGGGGCGTGGCGCACCTTGCAGGAGGAGACGGAGAGGAGGCTGCGGCGGCTGCAGCAGGCGAACGAGGCCCAGCAGTATTACCTGGACGCCGGCGAGGCAGAGGCCTGGATCAGCGAACAGGAGCTCTATGTGGTGGCGGATGAGAAGCCGCAGGTGAGAACGGCCGGAGCTTAGCAATGAGCGCAGAGAGCGGGCGCCATCCCGCCACGGTCCGTGAGGTGGGTCTGGGCCAGGGCTCCCTGTAAGTTGTGCACTTGGGCAACTGCCCCCAGCAGTATTACCTGGACGCCGGCGAGGCAGAGGCCTGGATCAGCGAACAGGAGCTCTATGTGGTGGCGGATGAGAAGCCGCAGGTGAGAACGGCCGGAGCTTAGCAATGAGCGCAGAGAGCGGGCGCCATCCCGCCACGGTCCGTGAGGTGGGTCTGGGCCAGGGCTCCCTGTAAGTTGTGCACTTGGGCAACTGCCCAGGAGAGATTCAAATGCTGCACAGTGCCCACAGCCGGCAGCCTGTGTTTCTACTAGTGGTGCGCATCCACACATGCCTCGGTGCACAAAACAAAATTTATTCCACACGTGGATGGAAACAATCAGAGGGAACATTGGTCTGGGTGGAATATAGCCCTCATTTTTAAAACAAATGTTCACACACAAATTGGTTTTGGGTGGGGAGGGGAATCCCCCTCCTTATACCCCCAGATCTAACCATCAGCAAAGAATCTCGGCAGAGGCATTAAGCCACATTTCTGGCCTCCTGACCCTGGGGTTCACAGAGGCTTGGGTATAACTTAGCCATAGGGGCTTGTTTAAGTTACAGCAGCCTTCCCTGGCTGCCCCCTCATCACTGTGTGTCCCAGCCCCACCCCTGGCACGGCCCCTGTTCTGTGGGGGATTCTTTAGAGGACAGTGTGTAACCCATGCCTGCTGGAGGTGGCACTCTGTCCCCCTCAGTGGCACCTAGATGGTCCCTTAGGGCACGTCTACACAGCAGGGCAGAAGTCAAGTTAAGCGACATAATTCAGCTGTGTCAGTTGCGTAGCTGAAGTCAAAGTAGCTGAACTCGGCTTTTGGTGCTGTCGACACAGCAGGAAGTCGAAAGGAGAACGCTCCTTGCTCCTGGTGAGATGGGGGTTACCGGAGTCGGAATGAGAAGTCCGTCAGCACGATATTGTTCCAAAATAACGCTGCTGTGTGGACGTACCCTCAGGACTGAGTCTGCTACAGCCTTCGCTCAGAGCCACGTGGCTTGTAGCTCGTTCTGTAGCAACTTATGCACTAAGTTTCAGAGGTCTCAGGTTTGATCCTGCCTGCCCAGTGAATCTTCTTCCCCGCTAAGGCATCAAACCAGTCACAAAAAGCACTTCTGTTTGCCGCACTGGCCAGCAGGAAGTTACACCAGCTTCCCCCTTAGACACCTCAGCTTTTCCTGTGCCACAACCGGCACCGCTCCTTACTCAGACGAGAGGTTACGAAACCAGTCTCACCAACTCCGAACAGCTTCTACCGATCCCAGTGGGCCCGCCACACTCCCAGGTCCATTTATACCTCAGCTCTTACCCAAAAGAGCTTGCTGGGCCAATCCTCTAGCATCTAAAGGGTTATTAATAAAAGAAAGAAAAGATCGGGGGTGAAATTGTGAAAGGAATCAAATTCCATCCACCAACGCAAAGTTCCTGGCGCAGGCGTGTAGCACAGAGAGAACAAACTGCTAGCTTAAAAATCTTTGGAGTGCTCCCTTTGTAAGGGTGGGTCATCAGTCCTGGGCCCTTTGTTTATAGCAGAGATGGGGAACCGCAGGTCGGAGGCCAGATGCGGAACCTGGCTTGCCTGGATCTAGCCCCTGGGGCTCAGGGCTCCTCCCCCCAGCATTGGGGAGTCCATGCCAGCGCTCCAGTCCCCACTGCCTCCCACCCGACTGATTTTTCTGTGGGTCAGCAGGCCCCGGCCCGAAAAAGGACTCCCACCCCTGGTTTACAGCCAAGATGCTTCTGATGCGATGAGCAGGACTGAAGACAAATGGAGGAACTTGTAGGGCCCTTTTTATAGCCATGGGAGGCTACAACCCCCTGGTAGGGGGTGGCTGGGACAAAGCAGTGTGGCAGGAGTCCTGCCCTTGGCGCTTGTTTGCCTGGAGGGTGGCAGGAGCCTCTTCGAGCAAGCGAGGGCCCAGTTCCCGGCTCGGCGGCCTGCGCTCTGCCCCGGTGTACGGCCAGTGGGGGAGCGTCGGAACGGGCGCGTTTGCCCAGAGGTGCGGGGGCTCTTTCTGTGGGCCCCTGGTGCTAAGCCTGGCTGGTTGCAGGACGAAGAGAGCAGCATCGTGATGCTGAAGCGACAGGTTCGCCAGCAGCGCGCCGTGGAGGACTATGGCAAGACCATCAAGCAGCTGGCCGGCAGGGCGCAGGCGCTGCTCTCCGCGGGCCATCCGGAAGGGTGCGTACGAGCCAGGCAGGGGGCCCCTTAACACCGACGCATCAGCCCACCCCCCGGGGATACTGAGCGGGAGGATCCCGCCGGCCTGCTCTCGCTGGCGGCTTCGCTTCCAGCTCCGAGCGCCCATAAAAGCGCAGGGATAGCTCCAGCGCTGTCGGCTCTGCCGTGGGCGGGTTCGAGGTGTGTCCACTCTAGGGATGTAAGCGAGTTGCCGACTATTCGACTGCTCACTTCCCCCCTGTGCAGCAGCAGGGAGGGAGGGAAAGAAACAGGAGCTGGTGCTGCGGGAGGCCAGCCCTGAGGGGAGGGGACTAGACTTGACCTCTCGAGAGCTCTTCCAATCCTAGTATTCTATGATTTCATGATTCTACAACTTGGTGTCCAATATGTGTTTGGTATGTAACTCCCAGTAACATTATTAGAGGCTACGCATGGGAGGGGGAAACACAGTTCATGGCATCTGTGTTTTCATCCCCCAGCTGGCAAAAAAGAAAATTCAGTGGTAAAAAGGGGATGGTGTAATCAAGCTACTGGCAGCAGATTTTTTCATGTTTTAACATCCATAGTGTTCTGATTAACTGGTGTTGACAGAAGCAGCACAAACAGTGCAGTTAGTGGACTCTAAGCCATTTGTGTAGAGCAAAAGAGTTAATCAAAGGTCAGCATTATACTTCTGTTCATATAATCAGATAAAATCTTTTCCACCTCTAACGCAGGTCCCTACACTACAGGCACCTAAATGTTGTGTCATTTACCCTTCCATTATTCCACCACTAAGAGCCGTCCGTTTTAGCAGCCGGAATTGGGACGGTTCTGCTCCCCCCAGCCCTGATTTCAAACACCATTGTGTGTTGTGGGGAACATGGGGCCTTGCTTTGGTTCCCACCGGGCACACCAGCCACGTCTGAACCGCGGGGTTCCCGGCTACCGCGGCTCCTGACCCGCCGGCTACCTGTGCCTCGCAGGGAGCAGATCATCCGGCTGCAGGGCCGGGTGGACAAGCAGTACGCGGGGCTGAAGGACCTGGCGGAGGAGCGCCGGCACAGGCTGGAGAACATGTGCCACCTCTTCCAGCTGAAGCGGGAGGTGGACGAGCTGGAGCAGTGGATCGCAGAGCGCGACATGGCCGCCTCCTCGCAGGAGCTGGGGCAGGACTACGACCATGTCACGGTGAGTCAGCGAGCCAGGCCGAGGGAGCGGCTTGGGACACCGGGCCTGCCCAGTGCTCAGCTGCAGACTCCTGCTGGCGTGCGCACCGTGCCAGGGCATGGAGAGGTGGGGGCAGAGCCCGGCGTGTGGGGGGATCTGTCAGGAAACAAGGCTGTGGGGCACCCTAGGCATGGGGGCAGAGAAAGGAGGAGCACCCAGGGCGGGGTACAGAGCAGTGCACCCAGAATGGGGGGGGACTGGACAGAGGAACGTGCCATGGTGAGGTAGGAGAAGGGGGTAGGAGGAACATGCCACGGTGAGGTGGCAGGAGGGGTTAGGAGGAACGTGCCACGGTGAGGTAGGAGGAGGGGTTAGGAGGAACATGCCACGGTGAGGTAGGAGGAGGGGGTAGGAGGAACGTGCCACGGTGAGGTAGGAGGCGGGGCTAGGAGGAACGTGCCACGGTGAGGTAGGAGGAGGGGGTAGGAGGAAGGTGCCCACGGTGAGGTGGTAGGAGGGGTTAGGAGGAACGTGCCATGGCGAGGTAGGAGGAGGGGTTAGGAGGAACGTGCCACGGTGAGGTAGGAGGAGGGGGTAGGAGGAAGGTGCCCACGGTGAGGTGGCAGGAGGGGTTAGGAGGAACGTGCCATGGTGAGGTAGGAGAAGGGGTAGGAGGAAGGTGCCCACGGTGAGGTGGCAGGAGGGGTTAGGAGGAACGTGCCATGGTGAGGTAGGAGAAGGGGTAGGAGGAAGGTGCCCACGGTGAGGTGGCAGGAGGGGTTAGGAGGAACGTGCCATGGTGAGGTAGGAGAAGGGGTAGGAGGAAGGTGCCCACGGTAACGTGGCAGGGGGGGGTAGGAGGAATGTGCCCGCAGCAAGGTCTTTGTGTCGGGCAGCTGCTGCGGGAGAAGTTCCGGGACTTTGCGCGGGAGACGGGCAGCCTGGGCCAGGAGCGCGTGGACAACGTGAACCTGGCCATCGAGCAGCTGATCGACGCCGGGCACGCGGAGGCGGCCGACAT